GGGGGGGGGGGGGGGGTGGTGGGGGGTTCATAGTTTCGGAACATGGATTTGGGACGTTGGAGTTTCGAGTCTGAGGCCTCGCTAGTTTGAACATGATTTTGATCTCGTTATGGTTATAGCCTCGACCCGGGTTCTGCGTGCCAATGTTGTGGGTGCAGGGTTGTCACGCGGCGATGGTGCTCTGGATAGGAGCTCCGGTAATAATAATTACACATGCTATTAGGCTGGTATTGTGGTAACCCTGAGGCCCTTATCCTTAACAATACCAGCAGTACTACTCACAAGACTGTGGTTATTCACGAACTTTCTGGTTTATTACCATTGCTGTCCTTGAGAATACTAATTATTAGTATTTTGATCGTATTAGTAAGCAGTGTCAGAATAACGACAAGAAGAATACGAATACACATAACACAAACAACAATAAGTAATAGAAACACGAGCATGAACAAGCAGTTGTCACAAGTAGTAGTATACAGCAGTAAAACTAGTAGTATTAATTTTAGTAACTTTGTCTCTTCAATCCTAAACCCTAAACCCGAAACCCTACTACTTGGTAGCTACCCCAATCCTAAATCCTCAACCCGCCTGGCATTATCATTCTGCAACCTTTGCTGTCCATGCTTTTTGTGTAGTCCAGGAATCTGAAGAAAATAAACTAACCCAGAGAAGAACACACGTTGGACTTAGACATCAGAGTTGAAGTGCATGTCATTATCGGCTATACTTCAAATGTAGGACCCTGCTGTAAGCCCCAAACGCCTGAGGCCCTCAATCAAACCGGCATGATCCAAACTTGATTTCGTAAGCCTCCAAAAGCATACGCTACCTGTTTGATGTTCTGCATGGGTCTTTGCTGAAGGGTTTGAGGAGGTTGAATTTCCAGCTACTGGGTTCCAGATCTAGCCTAGGGTCTGGCGGTCAATAGCCCTCAAACTGTAAACGGATCTAGTTTGGCATCAGGGTTTTGGATAGAGCCAAGAGGGAAGCCCTCCGGCAAAGCATCTCGTACTGCTTGCAAAAGCCATTCGAATGTGAGGCCTTATTCCTCGAAATCTGCAGCAGCTTTGTGACAGGAATCCAAATTGACCTCAAGTTCTGAGCCAGTATATATATATATACATGTGTATATATATATATACAAAATAAATAAATAAGCAAATAAATAACATATAAATATATGAATATACAAATATTTATGTATATATGTTTACTTATTTATTTAGTTATTTAGTTATTCACTTATGGGCTTATTGATTTATCTTTGTTCATCACAGCTTTTTCTCGGGACATGCGGGTAGGAGTGCAATCTGATACACCAGCATGTCTCGTTTGTATGTTGTACCCATCATGTAGGTGGCTGCTGCCCCTGAAGCCTAATCCCCGAATCCCTGAACCCTAAATCCTTCACTCTCTCTCTAGTCCTAAACCGTATAAGCTCTATAGACCCTAATCCGAAAGACCCAACCACAGAAATGTACCTAGGTGGAGGATGTTTTCGGAGTTCTCAGCGATGCCGAGTCGGAGGACGAGGTCAAAGACCAGTGTCCCGGCAAGTTAAAGTTAATTGTTGTTTTGTTTTTTTCTGTGTGAGAGAGAGAGAGAGTGTGTGTGTGTACGTGTGTACGTGTGTGCTTTTGTAAGGGTGTTTTATCGAATGGAATGAAGGTTGAGTTGTTATCCAGGTTTTTGTGGTCTAGACCTGGGCTTTTTTCATGGGGTACGGTTGGTAAAATGAAAACTCTGGTTTAGGATCTGACGGATTTGTCGAGTTTAGGATTTTAGGGTTTGGATTTCTTGGGGCGTGTAGTGTTTAGGGCTGAAGTTGGTGCTTATCGTTTAGATGTTGGTTAGGCCGGTTAGGCAACTTAAAAAATGCGGAAACCCAAACAGCACTAAACTGATAACTCCCAAACCTTGAAGTCTAAAATCCCCAGAAACTTGAACCCTCGATCCTCATTACATATCCAGGGGAGCCATCGACCTGCAGGAAGACGAGGAGAAGGCTGGCGTCATGGTTTAGGGCCCTTTAGGGCTTCCGGGCTTTATGATATAAGTTCAATTCAGGCTACGTCCTGCTTGTGGTTTTTGATGGTTTTTTGTTGCAGTGAGCGCTGTACTGCTTCAGAGCGTTGAGTGGTTCAGGGCTTCGAGGCCTGACGTTGGCCTTTCCTGGTCGGCTTCGTATTGGGGGGCCTCCGTTCTGCGCCACTGAAACCACCACGGACCAAAACCCTAGAAAGCCCACGAGGCCTAGAAACTGACTTCAGCAAACTACAGAAACCCTGAACGGCTCGCCACACACAGACGTTGGTACTAAACTATAAACCAGCGTATCTGAACAAAACCTGAAGCCCAAACGCTGAACCCTCCAATCCGGCCCTGGACTCCGGACCTTGAGTCCTAAACCCAATAGATCCTGACCGAACGGAACTGGAGCATGCCGGCAAAGAAGCAATCCGTGCAAAAGGGACTTGATTGAGCAATCCCAAAGGACCAGTGCATATGTGATAAAGCAGCAAGCCGCTGGAAAAAGATTAGAGCAATTGGGAATAAGAAGCAAACAAGGAGCAAACCACTCGAAAGGGACCAGAGACGACTAGAGCATTTGACACCAAAAGGAGCAAGCCGCACGAAAAGGCTTAGACCGTTTGAAAAAGGAGCAAATCTGTCGAAGGGCTCACAGCATTTGAGAACAACGAGTAAACTGTTCGAAAGAGACTAGAGTTTTTGAGCGGAAAGAACCAAGCCGCTCGACAGGGACAAAGGGGATTGAACCATCCAGGTCAACGAAGCAAATCGCTCGAACGGGACTAGAGCATTTGAGAAGAATCAAAACCGCGCGAAATGGACTAACGAGAGTTTTCGAGAAACAGGAGCAAACCGCTAGCAGGGTGCTAGAGCAGTTGGCATAAAGGAGCACACCGCTCGAAAGGGACTACAGCATATGAGAAAGTAACGAACCGATAAAAAGGGGGTTGAACATGTGAGACAATGCAGCAAGCCGCCCGAAAAGGAATAGCCATTGCATTTCAGGAAGAGAAACAAATCGCCATGGATTACAGCGTGAGAAAAAGAAGGGCCAACTGCTCGACAGGGAGTCTAGAGGATTTGAAGAAAGAGGAGGAAACCGTTCGAGAGGGATTAGACCGTTTGAGACGAAGAGCACACCGGCAGAAATGGATTAGAACATTTGAGAAGGGTCAGACGGCTCGGAACGCATTTCAAGAAAAAGGTCGAAAGGGATGCGAACGATTGAATAAAAAGGGGCAGAACACGAACAAACAAATATTCGCTTACGTGTGCAATGCTAGAAAGGCAGTACAACATTTGAGAACACGCGGCAACAGCTCGAAAGTGCCAGAGCGTTTGAGAACATATGGCAAACCAAAACTCCTTCCAGGTTTTGCCTCCAAAACTTCAAAAAACCCAAAGACATCATGTCTAAACATGGAAGCCCACAGGAGAAGCTGCCAGCCACCGCCGAGCCGGGTGTAGCAGAAGGAAAGTCTCCCACGGAGGCCGCCGATGCCTTGGCCAGAGGAGGGCTTCGGGTTT